CCTTTCTTGCTTTCTGCAGTCGACAAAACTGACTCACGACGGGATTCTATGGCTTCTTCCTTCTTACTTTCGGCAGATGACAAAACTGATTCACGACGGGATTCAGCAGATTCTCCAATTTTCTCGTCTTTACTGCTGACGACAGATTCTGGTCGTGATGGTTCCTTGGAAGATACAGGTGACTTATCATCTTTCTTGCTTTCTGCAGCCGACAAAACTGACTCACGACGAGATTCAGCAGTTTCTTCTTTCTTACTTTCGGCGGATGACAAAACTGATTCACGACGGGATTCAACCGCTTCTTCCTTTTTAACTTCTGTAGATGACAAAACTGATTGACGACGCGATTCAACCGCTTCTTCCTTCTTATTTTCTACTGTCGACAAAACTAATTCATGGCGACATTCAGCAGTTTCTTCAATCTTCTCGTCTTCGGTGCTGACGACAGATTCTGGTCGCGAGGGTTTCTTGGACGCTGCAGTTGACTCACCGTCTTTCTTGCTTTCCGCAGTCGGCAAAATTGATTCACGACGGGATTCAACCGTTTCTTCCTTCTTATTTTCGGCAGATGACAAAACTGACTCACGACGGGATTCAACAGTGTCTTTAATATGCTCTTCTTTAGTGCTAGAAACAGATTCTGGTCGCGACGGTTCCTTGGAAGTTACTGGTGACTTGTCATTTTTCTTGATTTCAGCAGTCGACAAAACTGACTCACGACGGGACTCAGCAGTTTCTTTAATCTTCTCGTCCTTAGTGCTACAAACAGATTCTGGTCGTGACGGTTCATTGGAAGCTGCAGGTGACTTATCGTCTTTCTTGCTCTCTGCAGTCGACAAAACTGACTCTCGACGGGATTCTATCGCTTCTTCCTTTTTACTTTCAGCATACGACAAAACTGACTCACGACGAGATTCGGCAGTTTCTGCAATCTCTTCGTCTTTAGTGCTAGAAACAGATTCTGGTCGCGACGGTTCCTTGGTAGTTACTGGTGACTTGTCATCTTTCTTGATTTCAGTAGTCGACAAAACTGACTCACGACGGGACTCAGCGGTTTCTTTAATCTTCTCGTCCTTAGTGCTACAAACAGATTCTGGTCGTGACGGTTCATTGGAAGCTGCAGGTGACTTATCGTCTTTCTTGCTCTCTGCAGTCGACAAAACTGACTCTCGACGGGATTCTATCGCTTCTTCCTTTTTACTTTCAGCATACGACAAAACTGACTCACGACGAGATTCGGCAGTTTCTGCAATCTCTTCGTC